TGACTCTCAGTTTTGCGCTGCTGACTCTCAGTTTTGCGCTGCTGACTCTCAGTTTTGCGCTGCTGACTCTCAGTTTTGCACTGCTGACTCTCAGTTTTGCGCTGCTGCCAATTGTATTTTGTCCTTTTGGCGTTCCATACTCGTGTAGATCAAATGTCACTTGATCAGCCTCAGACACAGCGCTCATCAGAATCACATCGGAGGCTAATGATTGTTGAAAGTTGTACCGCTCCGTATACTGCCAAAGGATCAGCCACACACCCGTGGGATGGAAAGATTCTAGCATTTTCTAAAAGATGGTAGTAAATGCCTAGGCTTGGACTAGGCCCTCAGTGTGTTTCTGTTAATGATGTTTTAACCAACATCACAGTGGAAGTTGGAATGAGCAGGATGATTTGACTTTGCTGTTGCTGTTGTTGTTGCTTTTCTGGCCCTGGCCAAGTTATGCAAATAAGCAGCGGGTGGAAGTTCCACGAGGTAAGACCGTAAGAGAAGTACTGTTTGGCAACAGCTCAGGTAGGACCTACAGTATTTTCTTTTCATTGAACAGAGATCAGTTAAGATTAATTATAATTGAGATTAATTATAGGCCTAGGCTTAGACTAGGCCTCGCCTTTAATGAATGATGTGGTATGTTCATAGTCTTCTGTTTTGACTTTAAGTTCTTAAAAGTCTAGGCCTAGGTAGGTTTATATTGCGAATTATTGGCGTGTTTAGGAAGAATGATGTGTACTAGTGGATCAGGCAAAGATACTAGAAATACATGATAGAGTTCTCCACACAAAAAAAGTGTTCCACCGATGCATGGTGGGAATACGAAAAATGGGACGCCCCCTACAGCTAGATCTAAAAAAACTTGTGCCAAACTTTCGTTACCAAGTCGTCGCGTATTTTATTATCAATTCTCAACAAAGATACTAGATATAAAAACAAACTGGAATAGACACCCAGACCGTGACATCGGTAAATGAATAACCTCCTTGGTGGCGGTAGACATCGTTGCTATTATCCAAATAATACACAAAACAATTAAAGCCTAGTCATGAATCATTAAAGAATAAAACAACAATACAGCGCAGAATCGCATGGCCGGACACACTCTTAGTGAAAAAGTTTTCCTCCATTCGTGGAAAAGGAAGGGCGCCTTTTGCGTCTGGATATACTTACCAACAGAAGGGCGCCCTGTACGTTGGGCACGAAGTATAGGAAACTTGCATGGTTAAAAAGAAGGGCGCCGCCTACGTTGGGCACGACTTCCGCCTCATTTTTACAATGCGCGAACTCTATCTTGTATTTCTAGTATCTTTGATAACAGGTCAAAATGGCAATAAGTCAAAACGTCAATGACCAAAATGGCAACACTTTTAGACCAGAACGGCAATGGACCAAAACAACAATTAGTCAAAACGGCAATAAGTCAAAACGGCAATAAACCAAAACGGCAACACTTCCAAAATGATGTATGGTAATTGGCAAAATGGCTAAATAAAATACTACCATGCTAAAATACAGTTTATATTTAACCAAATTATTAAGATTATTCTATACCGCATATAGATTCCAAGCATGTTCTTGGTTAAAAATCGGGTAATAACTTCAACCATCACTCCTATGATGTAGGTTGAATAATAGTCGCCGTGTAATGGACCTTTTTGCTAAACCCCGCCCCATTGTTGCTAAGGTCCAACAAAACGAGAGCGCATAATACGCAAACACGTGCTTCTTAGAGACGGGCGCTTATTCTTGGCCTTGTTTTTGATTATTTGGTTGTTAAGTTTGACTGTCACCCCGGAAGAAAGGTCCATTTATGTACGCACGGCGGTTAAGTAGACGGCGACCTACGATAAGAGAGAGATTGGCCCTCTTGACCGCCTAGGTTTATGAAGGCCAGACCTATGAGTTAATAATAATATTGTACTTACCCAAAAAAGTTAGTCAACTTTTTACATTTGACAGCCGCTGCATTTAGTGATGCTGATTTCCTTTTCTCGTTGCGTTCTTTCCTTGGCATTATGATTTTTTTACTGCCAACAATGTTCATAAACTATAGAGTAAATACATCGAATTGATGGTTCCAACGATGAAAATGCCATGTGGAGTTTAATTCCGATGAATTCATTACTGGATACCGCCCCCACTGGTGCAAACGTCCGGGGAGTACAATTGATTGCGTTGCTAGTGCGCACATCATTAAAGCTAGTTTTCTACTAGGCGAATTTGTTCGCGCGAATCGCAAATTTGTACCTATACGCCTGCGCAATGAAAATCTTGTGATGAAAATTTAACTGCACTTGCACATAGGCTAAAACTTACGTTTCGCGCGAACAAATTTGCCTAGTGGAAAACCAGCTTTATTGGGCCTTAGATTGTACCATTGTACACTACTACTCTCGCGCGTACACTAACCACAGCCGCAGCATGCAACATCACAGTCACGGTTTATTGATTGCTATAGCGCACGCCCTGCGAGCACTGCTGCTTGGAAAGAAGAGAATGCATCGACAAAATGTTAACAGTATAGGCCTATTTATTGACGAGATTTTTTTTTTATTAAACCTCAATTTTTAAAAAATAAATAAAAACAAATATACAGTACTTTGGATACAAAATCACCTGAAAAAATAGTCTTCAAACTGTTACCACTTGGAAAGAAGAATGCATAGACAAAATGTTTACAGTATATTTATTAACGAGTCATTATCTTTTTTTTTTAAACCTCAATTATAAAAAATAAATGAAAAAAATGTAATTTGAATATATAAAATCACCTGAAAAAAAGAAATAGTGTTCAAACTGGTAGGTTCTGAGCAATTATTTTTAGAAACTTGTTTTCTTTCCACCACCAAAATGCGGATAAAGAGTTGTTGACCTATTTAAAGATGGACCATTCTAGAACGTATGCAATTACCGCTGGAGTGAGATGCATGCGCACACAACTGTAACCGCAAAAACAGTTTGTAATCAACACACATGGTAATTCTCTCATGTTCTGTCACTGCAAGCTTATCTAGGCCTAGGCGACCTACAGTTTTGGCTTTCGTGTTTTTTTCAAAATTTGAACGTTCTTATTTAGATTTATTTTACGTGTCAAACGATCTACTAAGCGTCGTGAGGGCACCGATGCCAAGGCTGCAAAAGGGTAGGCAAGTAGTGGCCGTCGTCGTGCTTCTTTTTAGGGGTACCAAGGCAAACTGGGAGGGCACCGTCGGCAATGGCCGCGGTAAAATTCGAGGCCTGCCTACACCCCCACCCAGGTCCGTCCATCAAATGCTATATACTGTATTTATGTGTGTTATTTTTTTCAACATCATTTGATGGATAATTCTTACAAATGTTTTTACTGACACCCACACTACCCGCCCCACCCCAGGACCCACCATCACATAGGCCTATGCTGTACATTTATGTGTCCATTATTATTTCAAACATTTAATGGGAAATATTTTCATAAAAGTTTTTGCGTATCAAAAGTAATGGTTAAATACTTAAGTTTATTATGAGGTAATTGGCATTCAATCCAAAGGCTTTCAACACTGTTATTTTGAAACAAACAAATTTGTTTATGCACAAGTTTGTAACTAATATAACAAAGAATACCACCACCCATCTTATGCCGTCAGTCCATTCTATAAATAGTGAATCCGTTAATATAAAGTTCATTATCTGAAATGTGGCAAAGACAAGCCAAACCAGTCACTCGTCGCAAAAATCGATTTTGAGTTATTAATACAGTGTTAGAGAGTAAAATAATAGCTATAAAATGGTAAAAAAAATCATTTAAATCGGACATTTCCTTATGAAGTTACAGTACAAGCGTTTAAACACACAGCTGTTTAAAGAACTATATATGAGAAATCAGCCTTCAAAGTTTATGATTTCAGGCATCTCCCATGCAGAACTTTTATCAAATCCTTAAAAAATGTTGTTTTAACATTGCACATTGGGAAAATAACGGCATAGAATGATGTGTAGGTATATAAAGGTTAGTTTAGTGCAATAAAATAGATTTTCAAAAATTTGACTTTCTAGCATGATTTGGCCATTTTCTCTGAAACTCAATTTGCGACGAGTGACTAGTTTGGCTGGTCTTTGCCACAAACATCCTTATTTAACCATGTTTCTGTAAGACAAAGAATGTCAATGTTATTTTCATGTAACAAGACAGTAATTTGGTCTACCTTATTACGTAAACTTTAGATAGGTGATTTTTAATCCTTTACCTAAGAAGAAATTGAAGTTTAAAGATTCATTATAGAAAGGTAGATTTATAACAGCCTTTTTAAAGAAGCACTTGTCACATCACCATGTCGGTTTTCATTATTAAAGTTATCAATACAGACATCATGAAAGTTTAAGGTACAGGAGTCACATGTTAGTATATGTTCATTCATTCTTGTATTTTTGTATGTATGAAAAAATTAATATTTTTTTCTCAAGTATTTGGGGACATGCTGAGTATCCAGACAGGGCAAAAAATATACCCTTATTTCCTGACGCAAACTTACAACAATATAAACAATTAATCATTGGCAAAAATAAACTTAGAACAACATTCCCATTACTCTGTAGAGTGTAATTTTTTTTTTTTTTTTTCTTTTTAAACTAAGCCAAAACAACGTAAATTACGTACCACAACGGTTTCGACCTTTATCAAATTTACGTTGTTTTGGCTTAGTTTAAAAAGAAAAAAAGAAAATTACACTCTACATATTTACAAGAAGCCAAATGAAAATTTTTTGAACATTCCCATTACTCTACAGTATAATAGTATAAAAAATATTTTAACATTTTTTTCTTATTTGTTTTAGCCAGGGTATGCACTGCATACCTTGCTTGCCTTGACGGTCCGCCACTGCACAAAAAGCACTATTATAGTAATGTTTTACTTACTGTTCATCCAGTAATGGATTCAAGATCTGGCTTAAATTTCAATCCTTTTGTCTGCTATTTCTCGAAAAAAAAATCAGTAGAGGTTTTAGGATCCTCTTCTTTTTTTTTTCAACTAATTATTGAAGGGAGTAAGGTAACTTGCTGGGGGAAGGGGATGATTTAGCAAATCTAACCACGATGATTAAAGCACCACAAAACTCACACTTTCACTTTCACTTCTTGGAAATTGAACTTTAAGATGTGTAAAATAATTATAATGATGGAACTGACAGTGGTAACACTTCCCCCCTTAAAGGAAAGAAAGATTTATGCAATAAATCTTTCTTTGTTTTATACTAAAACAATAATAATATTGTTGAACATACAGCACAACGTAAAAGGATAATACAGATTATAAGTAAAAGCAATCAAGATTCATGCAAAACAAAGTATAAATTAGCTAAAAGTAAAATAGCATAATTAAGCAAAATAAAAATATATATGGTAATATATGAATTCAAAATTAATAGGTAATTACATGCAAATCAAGCAAAATCATAAAACTTTCAAATAGCAAACATATTAATTGTTTACAGTTTATGATTTAGACTCGAGACAAAGCATCAGGGACTAAGTTATCTTTTCTCTTAATGTGCTGAATTATCAGGTCATATTCTTGTAGGATTAAACTCCACCTCATCAAACGTTGATTATTGTTCTTCATTTTATTTCAAAATGTGAGATGATTATGATCACTGAAAACAGTTAGGGTTTTAACAGAAGAAGATACATAAACATCAAAATGCTGGAGTGCTAAAATTAAAGCAAGGCAATCGTGGAGTAATTTTTTTGATAATGATTGAATTTCTTTGAGAAATAGCATACAGGATGGTCAATACCATTGTCGTCTTCTTGTAAAAGTACGCCCCCAGCACCAATATCACTAGCATCGATGGCTAATTTAAAATCAATATCAGAATTTGGTGCTGAAAGAACTGGTGTGCTTTTAAGTACGGCTTTAAGTTTGTCAAAGGCGAGTTGACATTGGTCTGACTAAATAAATTTCACTCTTTTTCTTAGTAAATTAGTTAAAGGGGCCACGGTGGTTTCATAATAGACATTAAGTCATACCCCCTCTATAGTATAGATCCGTATTTTTTCGAAATAATGATTTTATGAGGGCGCTATACATGTAAACAGGGGAGTTACATGTTTGGCGGGTTTTTAAATGACCTACGAATTTCGACGAATCACGATCGTTTACATTGGAAAATCTCATTAATATTCATTATTATTTATTCTGGAGACCTTTGGGAATCGTATTATGGGATGTTGCAGCGAGACAGCATGGTTTGGAGAAGATGGTGAGTTATTGAACATTACCTTTGTTTTTTTTCTCAAATTTAGCATTATTTTTTTCAACTATTTAAAGGTCATAATTTAATGATTTATATATTAAAATCCTAGTTACTTTATGATATGAATTTTGTTTTATATAGTTGATTATTATGTACAGAATGATGTTGGAAAATTTCGTCTTGACGTAAAAGCTAGTTTTTTGTTAACTACAGAAGCTTTGTATACCATGTGTGCACACGTGTACGCTATGTGGCTTTTGACAGGCATGTTGATAATTAACAGAATACACGTTTAAACATGGTTAGATGAGCCTAGGCTAGTTGCTGTAGTAGTACAGAAGGACCCTACTAGACTAGGGTATGCCTAGGTTAGCCCTGCTTTCTAGCTAGCTAGGCTAACCTAGCACATATGATTAAGGACGGGCCTGTCCTATTACTACTAGGCCTAGGCTATTATATTATATTATTATTTATTTATATTAATTATTATAGGCTGTGGAGGGTCCAGGGACCTAGGGATCGTTAATAATATTAGATAATATTAGTCAATAATACCTAGGCCTAGACTATCAGGTACTAAGTAGGTTGTGTTAATGTGGTGGTGTTAATTGGTCTAGGCAGCCTAGTACTAGTTAATATTTCGATCCATTAATTATATTGACAAGTCGACAAAAAAAGAATTGATGTAAAACTGTTTTAATTTTAATAAAACAAATTAAGTTACTATTTGTATATGATTTTTCATACCGTAATTATAACTCATTTTAATTTATTTCAATTGTTTCAGATACATGAAAATATGACATGTAGTAAACCATCATATCACGCACGAGAATCCACATGGATTCGGCTAGTAAGGGCGCATAGAAAAATGGTGAATTATACATAACATAAAATAATTGTGTGTGCAACCAAAGCAGAAATAATTTTTAAAGTTCCAAATATAATTACAACACTAAATTACACAATTTCAGTTACCTCGCAACACTTGTGCACATGATTGCCCACAAATGCCTTGCCATGATATGCCTGGCGTTCTACCTTTCTGACCTGCAACACATCATCCAATGCACAGACTATGGGTCCTGAGCCAAATTTAAGTTGTTTATCAAGCTTCATTTCCTTATAGATGCAGTGTACAAATTTAAGTTGTGTTAATTTAATATTGGTTAAAACAATACAATACAGTGTAGTGTTTTATATTTCTGTAATGTGCTCAATAAAATGTATTGATTTTTATTAATATTGTACTTTATACTAACCAGATCTTTAATTTCTTGTTGTTTAACAGCTATGTTCCTCACTGCATTGCACACTGCCTTGGATTTAGTAATGTTTTTGTTAATAAATACCAGCGGTATTTCATCTTCGAGGTTTGATATTTTTCCTTCTTTCTCTTTTATACGATTTATTGCTTCTTTTCGTACAGCTGCTTGATCAGCAACAACTGTATCGAAGTTTGTTTTCCCATCACCAGGATTTTTTTGCCATAGTGTGTATATTTCTACATCAATTTGGTGCATATCATGTTCCAGAAGGTCATAAAGCTGGGTCATTCCGTGCCAACTCAACAAATGGGATGGCTGGGTACCGTCTCAGATTTTCTTGAAACTCGGATATAATGTGCACCAACATGTCTGACGAAACAAACCCAAAATTTGACTTGCCAATTCCAAGTCGTTTAGAAGTTATGGCCATTTGAAATTTTAGGGTCATACCCCTTTTTAGCTCTCAATTATGACATATTTGTAAAGTTGCATTTTCAATTAGCCA